TATCATGATGTTAATATCAATATATTGTAAGGATGAACCATCAGAAAAAAATTATAGACAATTTTATGGAAAAATTAGAATTTAACATGTCTAGCGACATCTTCCAGTATCAGTAGTGTACACACGTCACTGATGTTTAATAACTAGTGTCGTGTGAGGTCTATCAATAATAATGTTTTTTGTTTTAGTTTAAAAAATTTAAATTATAAATAGTTGTAATCATATCATAAAAAAATACTAATAAATATCAATAATACTACTTCTAATAATATTAATAATAAATTTACATATAAATGTGAAATTCTTTAAAACAATCGAGACAAAATCCAAGGCAACTTTTACATTTTTGAAAAATAATTCATAAAACATAATTTTCTGTACGCCTTCTAAAATACACAATTTACACCAATCTCAGTTAGTTTATTTTTTAAATTGGTAGTTTTCATTGGTAGTTTCCATGGGTTTTAATGGGTATTTTATAAGCCAGTGTAACTGGATAAAATAAAATAAATTTATTGTTTCATTTATATATGTGTGTATATATATATATATATATATATTTGTGTGTGTATTTATTTATATATAATATATGTATGAGTATAAAAGAAAATAGAAAGTTTTAATAGATATCTGCATTATACATATTTCTAATTCATGAAATGTATGGCATATATAAATAAATAAATACATTTTTGACTCCATTTAACTAATTGAAATTTAGAAGTTAATTTTTTTATAAAATAAATATAAAGTTTTTTAAGAATCGTTAGAAATGTGTTAAATAGTTTTCTTTGTGGATGTTCAATGTTTGAAATCAATTGTTTTAGATACGTATTATGACTATTAATTAAATTATTTTTATTCAGAACAGTGTATTCAAGTATTACAAAGAATACATTTTGATTTAGTCTATAGAAACATAATGCTGATCAAATATTCATAAAAATATAAATTTAAAACAATTGCATTAAAAAATTTACTAGGTGATGTAAAAAAAAAAATAAAAATAATAGCAATTATGTATTATACTTTTCTTTGAAATGTCGCTAGCAATGTGATATAGATCAGAAATAAAATAATGGTATGGCCTCGAGGAAATCGAAAAGTCGAGTACCAACTATATATAAATTACGTTTCAATTTAACTGGAATACAAGTATTTTATTTTTATATTTTTTATAACAACAATTGGTTGTAAAGATATTTTTCCTCAAATTTTGTCTATACTTTTAGAGTTAAAATAATATTCCAGTAATTATTTTTTTCTTTAATATAATTTTATTTTTAAGAGTTATTATAGATGGTAAAAAATAATTAATTTTATAAATGACAGTTTTTCGTTACTTCACTTCGTTCGACTAATAGTGTCATTTCAAGACAACGTGACGTAACATGACGGGTCGCAGTAATTTATACCAACTGAATGGAGAACGATGGATGATTATTTTTAATTACAAGTTTATTCATCGAAAGTATAACTCATACTTAAATCTGATGTTGAAAGTATAACCAAACATTTCAAGTTTAATATACATATAAATGAATGGCCATATTATTATACTAAAAATCCAAGTTAATCTTTTGATTATCGTAAAATATAACACATACAAAAACTTCAGATACGATATACCAAATAATTACTGTAAGATAACTTATCGAACATAACGCAAATCTCGTAGATTGTTTTGAATTACAATATTGATGATTAAAGTATGATACACATATATTTATGTTATAATTTACATTCATTAATAATTTTTGATAGCTGAAAAGTTGAAACAAAACAAATAGAATAATATAATTTTAGTAGGTGCATAACGAATTCATAAACCATTGGTGTCCTATTGTTCTACATAATGGATGAATCGAGATCTTAAAATGGTAAACATTAATGATGATATTATTTTTGTATAATATTTAATGTTTATAATGGTATTTTGTTTAAACCAAACAACTAAAAATCTATGAATAACAATGGTCGTTTATATTCATTTCAAATGTGTTTTTATTTTTTCCTGCACGCAGTTGAGCAAGTATTATTATATTGGAGTTTTAAATTATAACGAGGTTTTTCTCATAAATTAAAAATATTTTAAGCTTTATAAAAATAAAGTTCTGACATTATTGACTGAAAAATGAACACAGATGTGTTTATATTTTAATTTAATTTAAATAATGTGTTAGTATACGAATTATTGCCCATACGTCTGAAGAGATTCAGAAAAAAAAAAGAAGTTAAGTATAAATATTAAGTAGATATATATATAAATATATATAACATTTGTGAAATTACGCTGAACCTTTTTTTTAAATTCTAGTTGTAGTATCTCATAAGGTGACCTGCATTATATTTTCAAGTCTTAGGTATTAATATTAAAAAATGTTATGACTTCTAAACTACTACGTAAATTATACATTTTTGTGGTGTTAAAGTACTTTATCAAAATTCTAACTTCAGAAGTATATAAAAAATATCGTGGCTGAATATGTTTAATATTTTTCAATTACTAAAAAAGTAATTTATAAGAAATCTAATGCATTATCTAGTTTTTCTACAAAATATAAATTTTAAATATATATAAATTATAAATATCTCAAAATGAATTAGTATATTTTTTTAAACTATACAACGAATAGAAAATATTTCTAAACATTTTTGGTAAAAATTTCAAATATCTTCAAATATTCTTTTTAAGTTACGTCAAAAATACAAAATCAATTGTACTGAAAATTGGTTTTGAGTAAGAATGTCATTTTATTCCTTGTATATTTTTTTGTTTAACTTGATTGTTTTGAAATTCAAAACATTTTTACATTTTTAAAAGGTAATAAAATAAATAAATAGAGATATACACATCATTATAAAACCGATACAATAGATCGCTCCATTTGAAATTTAAAAAAGTGATATTTTAAGTATCATTCTAGAGTTTAAAAAGAATCTTTAAGTTGAAAACAAAATCTACGCAAGTAGACACTATAGTTTTTAATATAATTGTTATTACATAATTTATTTATTTTTAATATGTTTAATTTCTACATTATTATTAAAGTTTCTTGTTAAATGATTATAACAACTAAAAAAAAAAAAAAAAATGATTAAAATTAAGTCTTTATACATTAGAGTTTATATAAACATTTCAAAAATAATGCTTTTTATCTATTCTTTTGGATTTAAAACGTTTAACTTTTAAAAAGAAACAGGTCTTTATTGTGTATTTGACTTTGCTGACTAAAACAATGCAGATAATACGTATATTTAAACTACCTACCCAAATCAAATAAAACGACTGTAGGATGTATATGCCAATATAGAAGTATGTATTATATACAAATATTTCATCTATATGAAATGTAAATTTTTTATGTACAATGAACATAATAAACAAAGCGTAAATAATATGCATTAATAAAACATTTATGTTTAGAAAGAATGGTAAAACATACTCGAGTACAATTGAAAAGTGCTTGAATTAAATTTATAAATCGTGTCGATGGTGATATTGAACTTTTATATTAGATATTTTGTGTTTATTTATTTATTCAAATTATCGATAAATAAATAATAGTTTGAATAAAAGTCTTGAATCTACGTTTGAATTTTAAATTATAATATGTACGTTTTGACTTTAACATATTAAAATATTATTAATGTGGAAGAAAAACAATTCTTGAAATTTATTTTGCACAATAGTATAGTAGTGTTTAATATTTACAAAAAATATTACATTTAAACCATTATAAATTAGAGTGAATCTAGATTATAAATAAAATTACAAACATTTGCTGCTAGTGTAAATCCCATAAATTTTAAGCTAATAAAAATATACAAAGGATTAATTTTACTACAGAATTAATTAAGATGGCATTATTGAAGTACTTAGTACTGAAAAGTTGGTTTAAAGAGAAGAAAAATTAGTTTATTTTTTAATATTTAATACCAATATATCATACAATAAGATATGACGAGATTTAAAAAATTCAAAAAAGCGTTTCATTTACTGTTTATTCAATCCTTAATGAAGAATCAATATCAGTTTACCAAATTCCAAAAGCATGTTTTTCTACGTAAACATGTTATTTAATTAAACATTAACGTTATGTAATGCGACTTTGATAACGTACCTCATAACGTTATGTTATATAGTAAATTATATATTTCTCATATTTTAAACGTTTGAAAATTAATTCATTGAGTGTATAGATATAAATAACAATCAAAAATGGCAATAAAAAAAATCGATTACTTATTTATATTTTTTATGTGTACGTGTGTACGTGAGTCAAATTTAAATAATTGCAGTTATGTAGTATTGATAAAGGATATGTGGTGTGACTTTGTTTACTTCCGGACCATAAGTATATCAGTATAACATAGTATAACACAATCATTATTATACGAATTCAATCGAGTATGAATGAGGCTGAGCAAACTAATGATTGGGTTTAATTTAACTTAATTAAACTAAGTTAATAACGAAATAAAAGCCAACATTGTACAGAATTTTTTTTTTTTCAATAATCGAATTTTGTATAAAGTTTATTAAAAAAAAATTGAATAAAATCAATTTATCTAATAATACTCCGAATAAAATATTTATTTTTTTTTTTTGTTCCACAAGTGATTTTCATAGTAATTAAGTGAACAACATAGATTTTGGGCGATGGTTGCTTATTTCAAATTACAGGGAAACAATCAAAAACATTTTTAATAAATTGGGGTTCAATCCGAAACCAAAAATTTGTTTTAGTCAACCAATTCGTCAAATGTAACCCATAAAGTTAAATAACTACCTAACAATTATTATTAGGTACCTCAATAACCTACTGTAGATTTGATTCATCTACCCAATAGACAATAGGTATCTACTATCTATTATTGGAATCATTGTCTAGGTTATAAAATGCCTAGAGTTAGCACTGCTTAATGATAATACTATTAATTATTAGGTAGTTATTATATTTATTATTATCTAAGATTCAATGGATGGATGTACTTACGGTACATTTCGATTGTGACGCTGGCACTGACGGGGGCAGACAAGTTGCTATTGGAAGCCTGACAGGTGTACACAGCTCCCTGGTCGTATCGGCTCAGCGCTTCGATAGTCATTTCGTTTTGTTTAACTGATGATGATGACGCCGTGAATTGTCCGGGAATCCCTTCATTTCCGGTGTCCATTAACGTTTCTCCTCGCCACCATCTGACTTTCGGTTCCGGGCGACCTGTAGAATAAAATTATTGCATATTAATAATAATTATGCATAGTTATTTTATTTTAATTAAAAGTGAAATGATCACAAGCATTACAAATAATATAATAAAAATGTTACTAGTTTCAGTAAATTATAAACTTCCCTTATAATAATAATATATACATAGTGAGAAGGAGGGGAAGTCAGTTAGGTAATGTTAGGATTAATTATAGTTACAGATAAGACGCCTTGTCAAATAAATCTAAAATGAGAAATTAATACAAAACCTTATTTAACCATAACCTTAGTTTATGAAATTTCTCAAATTACAATTACGTATCTAAGGATATGTTTTAATAAAACTGATATTAGCTCAAAGTCATAGGCCTAAAAGTGTTTTATTACTCAAATGTTGTAATTCACGTTTCATGAGCTTATCTAATAACATAGAGTTAAATGGTCATATTTTGTAAGAATAATATTTCAAAATATTTACATGGTTTTAATTTATTATATACTTTAATATGCATACAGTAGGTAGGTACATAATATCATTTATAGCAATATTTCAAATATTTTGCACCACGGTGAATGGATGATCAAAACCGTTAGGTTTCACTAAAAATATTAACGAAATTAAGCTAATAATAAATGCGCATGAACCAATTCCATTATCTCTTTAATGAAATACATGTATAGTACATATCATACACTATTTAACTGAATGCCAAACTCATAATAACATCAAAATAAATTTAAATCTTCAGGCCGAACCTAACAAAACACCGAAACACCATACTTGACTAATTTCCATCATTATAAAATTCATAAATATCGTTAAACTGCAAAATCAAATTTTCATAAATTTTTGATTTTTTTTGTTTGTTTTTATAATACATTTCATGTATTAAAATTATAATACAATTATATTTAATAATCAAACAAAACTTAAAAAAATATTATTTTGTCTCTTATTATCAATTTAAATTTTAATTACAATATTAGTTAAAAAATAAAATAAAAATAAATACATCTTGGATTGAAATAGCCTTTTTTTATAATCAAATAATGATAACAATTGGTTATAAAATATAAATAATTTCTAGTAGTAAATAATATTATTTAGTATTAACTATTTAATGATGATTTTATTTCGGTAACAAGTGGTCTATATTTCTTCTCTAGGCAGTCAACTAATAACTATCCAGTTTAAAAGATTCTGAACATATTCCCTGAACAGAAGACAACACGAAACCATTATACAGTATTAATATTCTGTTTTATAAAACATAGTCTGTTAAAATGAAATAAAAATTAGTATTGATTAAACAACCTAAAAATAGTTGTTAATTAAAAAATAAAAATAAAAATAATAACAACGTTTTTTTATTTGCGTTTTGGCAATAATGATCCTTTTATAAAGAATTTTAATTATTTACGTCAAAAAGGAAAAATTAAGTGATATTAAATACTACGTGTTAAATTGTAAATTGACTAAACACGAAGTTTGACGGGATTTTTAAATAATTTTACACCTACTGAGTATACATTTTTATTTTATTAATTATGAATAAATAAAATTAAAATATTATTTGAAATGCAATAAGTAACAATTTAATGACAATTAATAAATTATATACATGATTACCAATTAGTAATCATAAAAAAGAAGTAAAAACCAACCAAACAAATACGTGTTAACCATAGACCTTATACTAGGTCTATGGTGTTAACTAACAATTGCAAAATACTATTTTCATAGATTTTTTTTTTTCGTATAGGTAACAGGCTAGGCCAAAAATACACTAAGATAGACAGTGCAATCAGTGTATATTAAATATATATATGTAGGATGTAAACATATTATTTAAATTATATTATATTTTATCAAAAAATAAAAATTGTAAGTACTTACATATTATATAATATTCTAGCAGGTAAAATATTTTATATAGTACCTATTAATATTATTTAATATAATTTTTTATATTAATAACATTATATGTAAATATCGATATAAATTTGATACAACAACAAAACTTTCATGATTCAATATTATATTACATGCTATATAGTTTGATACAAAAATAGAACCACTTAATAAATTGAGAAACATTTAATTTTAAACTATTGATTTTTTATTTTTTTATTAGTTTGTATATATAAATATATATATATATATATATATAATGCATGTATATGAAAAATACTGTTTTGTAATAATTGATAGGTAGTAATTTCATACAGACCATGTATTTTATCGTAATATTATAAACAAATATTATAAATAATTTAATAGTTATAATCTGTTCATACTAAATTATGTTTTAATACAACATTAAGTTATTTAATACATTTAAAAGTTAAATTTATTAAATAACTATGTTTTATTAATGAACTTAAACTAGTTATTCATTACTGTTTAGCTTATAATTATTAATGAACCAATTTATATTTTAAAAGCCAGTTTTATTTTGTTTCATTAAGTAATTGTTGTTTTAAATGGGTTTTAACGAGTTTAATATGTTCAAAAGTAGATACATTATAAAACAAACAAATAAAATATTAATAATATCAAACGAAGAAATTTCAACTTTTTAAATTTATTATTGGAATATTTGTTTAATTTAATTTAGAAGTTAAAGATAAAATATATATTTAGGAATGTAAGATAATAAATACATCAGTACATTATAGTTGAATAACAATGTATTATGTGGATGAATTTAAGCTCAAAGAAATTCCGTTAAATGTATTAATGATTCGATTGAAATGATAAAATATATATAATAAGTATGAATTACCTATACTTTTTTCTCAGTAAATAACAGAAAAATGAAATACTGTTATCAAAGTATTCGAAATATCAACATGAATAATATTTAATAGTGATGTTTAGAGCTGAGATTTCATAGTCTGAAAAACCTTAAAATATGAACGCATTTATGCCTTTAAAAACTATAATATATGCTCTAAAAATGTGCAAAAATTCTAAAATATGCCTTAATATTATTTTATTTTTCATTAAAAAATCAAAAATTGATTTCTTAAAAACTGTACTTACTCTAAAATATTATACTAACTATATTAACGCAAAACGAAAACATATACGATACTAACAAACGGATTGACATAAACTGATGAACTGATCGTATTCAGTGTATTTTCCTTAACGACTGTTATTCTCATCACAAAAATTATTGGGAAAACCCACGGTAGATACATTGTTTAATTATTTATATTTTATCATTGTATTCTATTTTTTTTTTAATTTCTAGAAAATTAATAATAAATATTGTATTGTACTTATAAAATATTATTCTTCGTGTCATATATTGTTTTACATTTTATTTTTAAATATAATTTGTGATTTATGTACTTAAAATATGATTTTGAGTAAAAAAAAAAAGTCGGTACAGTTAACGGGATTTTTTTTACTGATACAATCTTACATTGAAAAATATAACAGCGTCTATATTACACAGAGATTTTTTAAACTTCTATTTATATTAATATAATGCATTTTGCATTATTCACTTTTTTTTGTTATTTAATATAAGTTCATATAGGATTTTGATCTTGCGTTTAATTTATAGAATATCATTCCTGCCTAAGCAATTTTGCAGTGTTATTATAAAGTAGAATATTTTTGTTTACATTTTTATCCATTTCAGTGTCGTATAAATGCAAATCGCACAAAGCGTTTCGATCGCCATTAGCATATTCGAAAAGAGTAATAACTAGATACTTGTAAATATTCGTTATTATTTATAAAAAATCAATCATATTGAGAACTATATTACTAGTTTAGCATTTAATATATACTATAGTTATTGCATTTTAATATTATTTATCTCTGAATTTTTAGTTTTTACTGAAGAAATATAATATAAATAAACACTTTGTTCTTTTATGAAAATAAATAGCTAGGTATTTTGTTTTATCCTCATACAATCGACAACGAAGACTATTCATGTTAAAATATTAAAAAATCTGAGGAAATTTATATTATAATGATATTTGAAATAAGGAATTTTAAAAATATATTCGAAATCATTGACTCTTGATTAAAGCTAAAATAATTAAAAAACTATAAAAAACTAGAATATTTAGAATTTTTAAATATGCTTAAAAAGAGTGTACTAAGTATAAATTACAAGGTACGATACACGTTTCAACAGTTATTTATTTTTTAAGTAACTACTATCTACCTATAACCTAAGAATACACGAGATGTTAAACTTAATCCATTCCCATTAACATAGATACGAATATTGTAGTATTTTTAAATACAGTGAAAGTTATGAGCGATAAATATACCAAATAACGAAGTTCCGTATACCTACAATAATTCTCAGCTTATTTGATTTTCTATCCCGTGTAGTTGCAACAATTTTCCAAAAATAATAAAGTCATTTTAAAACGAAAACAGGATCTATATTCACATGTAACACTTTCGTGCGATTTTTCAATTTTCAATTTTTTGAACTCGAGTCATATTGGTTTTCGTCGTACGTGATGAAAATCGATTGTTTTTCTCGTTTTACATCATCGCCTCAAACATGACGTCTAAAAGAGAAAACTTGATTTGAAAATACGCAAAATACAAATATATTGTTTTTTTTTTTTTTTTTTGTAGTCAGGTTATAAAATAGTTCAAAGCTAACGATCTAATTCTTTAGGTCCCTAAAAAAGTGAATTTGACTTTGCGTATATAAATTATAAGTATAAATATTGTATACATATTATGTTTTAGACTGTCCAGCTTGCATGGCCGGTGTCAGATCAGTTTTTTACATACTCGCGCCGCACGACCTAATAATAATAATATATTATACTATCATAGTTTCTCACTAAATCGATCGTTTTGGTTCGTAACGTGCAGCAGATTACTGATGAGTAAATTTTGGATATGCTATTACTGATATGATATTTATCGCTGTATAAGACGCGTCTTACAGAGGGTTGAGACTATAATAATATATAGTTCGTTAGGGTGACAAATAACTGGAGATTTTCTGGGTTATTTA